TTTCTTCAAAGTTGTTGAATTTATGAACATTCAGTTTTTGTAGCATTCTCTTAGTATCCTCGCAATGTCGTCACGCTCTGTTGTTAGTCAGCATTCTCCAGAGAAACAGAACTAACAGGATATATACAGATGGATGTAAGAGTAGATTTATTATAAGAATTGGCTCACCCAGTTATGGAGGCCAAGAAGTCTCACAATCTGCTGCTCGAGAGCCGTAGCCAGTGGTAGAATTCCATCCAAGTGCAAAGGCCTGAGAACCAGCTCCACTGGTGTCAGTCTTGGAGTCCAAAGGCCCAGGATCCAGGAGCTGCAATGTCCGAGAGCAGGAGAAAACGGACGTCCCAACTCAAGAAGAGGGAGAGAGAATTTGCCCTTCCTTTACCTTTTTGTTCCTCTTGGGCTCCCAACAGATTGGACAATGTCCACCCACATTGGTGAGGGTGGATCTCTTCACTCAGCCCAGTGAGTCAGATGCCAATCTCACCAGAGACGTCCTCCTGGATGCACTCAGAAATAATGTGTTACCAGCCAGCTGGGCACCTCTTAGCCCAGTCAAGCTGACACATAAAATTAACCATCACATGGGCCGGGCCAGTGGCATAGTGGTTGGGTTCGCATGCTCCGCTTCAGCGGCCTGGGGTTTGCAGGTTCAGATCCCAGACACGGACCTACACACCGCTCACCAAGCCATGCTGTGGCAGCATCCCACATACAAAATAGAGGAAGGTGGGCACAGATGTTAGCTCGGGGCCAATCTTCCTCAGCAAAAAGAGGAAGATTAGCAATGGATGTTAGCTCATGGCCAATCTTCCTCACCAAAAAAAAAAATTAATCACAGCCCCCATTGCATTCCTGATGCTGGTCATTTGTGTCTTCTCACTTTTTATTTTTGTCAATCTTGCTAGAGGTTTATCAATTTTATTGATTTTTCAGAGAACCAGTTTTTGTTTCATTGATTTCCTCTATTGTTTTCCTGTTTTCAATTTCACTGATATCTGTTTTTGACTTTATTATTTCCTTCTCTCTGTTTGTTTTGGTTTATTTTGCTCTTTTCCTAGTTTCATTAGGTAGGGAACTGAGATGATTGATTTGAGACCTTTCCTCTTCTGATGGCTGTAAATATCCCTCTCAGTCCTGCTTTAGCTGCAGAACACATACTTGGATGTTTTGTTTTGTGTTTTCATTCAGTTCTGTGTTTTTAAAAAACTCCCTCAGGTACTTCCTCTTTGACCCAGGGGTTATTTAGAAGTATTTTTATTTACTTCCCAGTGTTTCAGGATTTTCCTCTTGTCTTTCTGTTATTGATTTGTAGTTTGAGTCCATTGTGGTCTGAGTACATATTCTAATTTCACTTATTTTAAATGTGTTGTTGTTCATTTTATGATCTATGTTGGGGAATGTACCCCACTTTAAAAAGAGATGTATTCTGCTGCTGTTGGGTGAAGAGTGCTATGTCGACTGGATGCTGTTGGGTGGTGGTGTGGTCTAGATCTTCTGCGTCCGTGCTGTTTCTGTCTAGTAGTCCTATCTGGTGTTGAGAGGAGTGAGGTAAAGTCTTCAACTGTAACTGTGGATTTGTCTCTTTCTCCTTTCAGCACTATCAGTTTTTGCTTCATGTATTTTGAGGCTCTGGTGGTTGTTGCTTACACAGTTAGGATTGTTAGGTCTTCCTGGAGGATTGATCTATTATATAATGTGTCATTACATAATGTCCCTCTTTGTCTCTAGTCATTTTCTTTGTTCTGACATCAGTTTCCTCAGATATTAACATAGCCACCCTGGTTGTTTGTGTTTGGTTAATATTTGTATGGTGTATCCTTTTCTGTTATTTTTACTTCCAGCATACCTATGTCAATGAATTTGAAGTGAGTTTCTTATAAACAGCATAGAGTTCAGTCTTGCTTTTTTATCCACTCTGCCAAAATTTGTGTATTTACATTTTAATGTATTTAATGTAATTTGTGTGTTTAGCTATTTATATTTACATATGTTAAGGTTAAAGTCTGCCATATTGTTATTTGTCTTCTGATTCACCTCTGTTTCTTGTTCCTTTGCTTTCCTGTAGATTATTTGAACGTTTTAAGGGACTCCATCTTGATTTATTTAGAGTGGTTTTGGGTGTCTCGCTTTGTATGGTTCTCTTAGTGGTTATTCTGGGTATTGAAATATCCACGTGTGGTTTGTCACAGGCTGCTGGTAGCAGTGTTACCACTTTGAGTGACGTGTAGAAACTCTGCTCCCACTTCAGTCCCGACTTTTCAGTGGTGGCTTGAATATCAGATGGTGTTATAATTTGTTTGTTTCAGTCATCACATATGCTTTAGAAAACTCAGGAGGAGGAGGAGGACTGCCTATCACATTTACCCATATTTCTGCTCTTTCCACACTCTTCCTTCCTTCCTGATGCTGCAAGATCCCTTCTGTCATTTCCTTTCTTTTGGAAGAAGTTCCTTTAGCTAGTCTTAAGGGTAGGTCTGCTGGTGATAAATCACTTCAGTTTTCCTTCATCTAAGACTGTATTTCTCCTTCATTCTTGGATGATACTTTCTTTTCTTTCAACACTTGAAAAATGTGCTGCTTCCTTCTGACCTCTGTGGTTTCAGACAAGAAGTCCGCTGTTGTTCTAATCGATGTCCCTATAGGTATTGTGTCATCTTCCTCGGGCAGCTTTCATGATTTTGTCTTTGTCCTTAGTGTTCAGAAGTTAAATTGTGATGTGTCTTGACGTGGGTTTCTTTGGGTTTATCCTATTTGAGGTTTGCTCATCTACTTGAATCTGTAAGTTTCCATCTTTTGCCTAATTTGGGAAGTTCCAGCTACCATTTTTTTTTTTAATACTTTTTTCAACCCTGCTTTCTTTCCCTCTTTTTGGCACTCCAGTAATGTGAACAATGGATCTTCTGTTATTATCCCACAGGTTCTTGAGCCTCTGTTCAATTCTTTTTCAATGTGTTTTCTTTTTGTTATTCAGTTGAGTAATTTCTATTGACCTGTCCTCAATCTCACTAATACATCCTCTGTCATTTCTATCTACTAATAAGCCCATTCAGCAAGTTTTTCACTTCAGCACTTGTTCTGTATTGTTCTATGATTTCCATTTGCTTCTTTTTTATGTTTATTTCTTTGCTGAGATTTTCCATTTGTTTCACAATAACTTGTTATTACTTGTTGAACCACTTTTATTATGGCTAATTTTACAATCCTTGTCAGATAATCCAGCATCTTCCTTACCTTGGTGCTGGCGTCAACTGATTACTTTTTCTTATTCTAGTTGTGATTTTCCTGGTTCTTGGGTTCCTCCCTGACTTTCCTGGTATGACAGGTGATTTTTTTATTGTATCCTCAACAGTTAGGCTATCACATTCAGATTTTTTATTTTAGCAGGTGGTCATGTGTGGGTTCAGCATGCAGGTCCGGGGCTACCATCCTGGCCTGTGGTTCCAATGACAATGCAATATTCAGAGGCTCTGTGGCAGTGTTGTTCTCGTGCTGCTGGTGACTGCTGGTGCTCTGGAAGGGGTGGAAGGTGCTTTCTGGCAGGGAAGCTATCTTGTGCCTATGGGTGAGGCGGGGAGTGCTTCTTGGGCTGAAAGCCTGTTGTGGTGGGATCTCCCTTGCCAGTGCCCCCACCCCCATCCAGGCCTCAGGGTTGGGGGGCCTTGGGCCCTGTGGGGAGGGAGTGTGCATCCCTTGGCCCCGTGTCAGGAGGGCCTCTCTTATCCTCCTGCCAGTGCTGCCAGGCTTCCCTGGAATTGTCAGTGGGATCCAGTTCCACATGGGGATGAACCCGCCCACCTGGTCCTCCTCCTGGTAGTAGGCTGGGGGTCATAAAATGCCAGGCCATGGTCCCCTTCTGTTGGGTGGGCTACTCTGCTGTTCCTCCAGTCCTGGGGACCCTCACCAGCTCACCTTCCTCTTTTCATCTTTAAGAGTTCTGTTTTGGTTGTCTCTTATTTCCTGCTTTTATCGTTGGATTAGTCAGGAGGAACAGAGAGACAAGCCTGGAAGCCCCTCAGGCCCTGATGAAGGGCTTTTGATTTCTGAAAAGTCGGTGGTGTTGGCCGGATTCTACGTGGCTGGCAGAGCAGTGGGAGTTATGAAGGACTCAGCTAAAGCAGGCCAAGGGAGGAGGCAAATTAGGAATGCTTGGGAGGTGAGGATGAAGGGAGGTGTGGAGGAAAGGAAGGAAGAAGAGGAGGAGTCCCCCTCTAGCCAGGGGCATAGATGGACAGATTTCCAGCTACCGAGAGGGATGCAGGATGCAGGGCTTAGGTTGGGGCGAGGTGGGCCTGGTGCCCCGTGAGGTGGAGAGATGCCCAGCAGGCAGCCCCTGGCTCCGTGGCCTCCGGGATAGAGCCAGCAGAAGGTCGAGGATGGAGAAGACTCCCCCACAACAATGGCTGCCTTATTCCCTTCCCCACCCCCGCCCCCGTCTAGCTCTAGGGTAGTGACAATGTTCATCTGTCTCCCGGAGCCTGGCACAGGGTGGGTGCTCGGCGAATCTGAGCGCAGGAGGGCCTGTGTGGAAGCAAGGGCGCATCTCAGGAAGGCTCGGGAGGGTTTGCATCCTGAGGGGTGTGGCAGAGGCGGCCACCGAGAATGGAGGAAAGCCTGTTTCTCCCTCTCCTTCCACGGCCCGAGAGCTGAGGGTGCGGCAGCCCCGAGCTGCGGGGAGCCCCAGGGAGCCGTCTGCCCGGAGCCCCGCTGGGGCCGCCTCGCTGCTGTGCTGCCGCGGGCCGGCTCCGGTTGCCATGGAGCAGGGAGGCGGTTGCCACAGAGACCGACGTGCGAGGACCAGCCAATGAGTGCGGAGCTGCGGTTTCGGCTCACTTCTTGGATAGAGGCGCCGAGCTGGGCGGGGACCCTCCGCCCAGACAGCCGGAGGCCGGGAGGCTGGGCAGGAGGACTGCGCTGCCGCCTCCCCCAAGGCGCCCCGGCCCTCCAGATCCTCCAACCACCCCCTAGACCCCGCACCCCAAGTTCTGGCGACCCCCCGCCTCTTCCCGACCCAGCTAAGGGGTGATGCCACCCTGAGGTCTGCCCAGCCTCCGACTGGCCCTGAACCCCTCTCCCGTTAAGGAGGGGATGCTGCGGGCAAGGCGGGGCCGCGCACCGTGGGAGGAGCGCGCAGCCTGGTTAGGGGGAGGCCCGCGCCCCCCGCGCTCCGCAGTGCCTGGCGCGCCCGCGCACGCTCACTCGGGGCGCCCTGCGGGCGGGGCGGCGCTGACGTCATCCACTGACCCCCACCCTTACCCCCTGGCCGAGGGGCGGTGGCTGCTCAGGCTCCGCGGGACGGACTCAGAGACGGACCGGCGACGGAGGGACGGGCGCACGGCCAGGCCATGCCCGGGGAGGCTGCCCGCACCGAGCTGCTGCTGCCTGAGGCGGGCGGGCCCGGGCCCCGCACAGGTGAGGCCGCGGCGGTCTCCCGCCTGCGTGCGTCTCTGCTGCCCTTCTCGCTTTGCATGCTTGTCCCCTCTCCATGCCTGTTCTCTCTCTGTCCCCTCCCGGATCCTTTCGGCACCCTGCCCTTCCCGTGCACCTGAATCCCGACCGCCCTTCCCCGGCCCGGCTCGCACTCAGGACTGCGGGGAAGGGCGGGGTGGAGCAGGGATGTCCTCCAGGAGCCAGGAGCGACGCGAGGGCTCCGTGCGCTCCCTGTCCGGGTCCCGCCCGCTCGGCCGCCGCGCCCCATTGTTAGAGCGGAGCTTCGGGCCTGGCGGGCCCGGGCCGCTCTGGACCGGAGGCGGCGGGTTCTGAACTGCACCTCAACCTCTGGGACACGCGGAGCGCGGGGCGCCTGCCCCGGAGATGCGTGAGGGCTGCCTCAGGGTGAGCGACTAGCCCCAGCTCAGGAGGGAGGAGCAGGACGGGCGTTGGAGCCTGAGGAAGCCACAGGGGGAGGCTGTGGGTCTGGGAGGTCAGAGGCACTGGGGGAGCATGGCCTGGGAGCAGTGGTCCCCGAGTGCAGGCCCGCGTCCTTGGAGAGGCTAGGTCAGCAACTTTCAGTGGAGGCTGAGGGATCTGGAAGAGCAGTCAGGACGCCCTGGCAGGAGGTCAGCCATGTGTGGCCAAGGGCACCTTGCTGTGGGTAAGTCACCTGGAGATGGTACCAGTGCTGGGTCCAAGGGGCTGGCCTCCCTCTGGGGTCCAGTAAAGGAGATGGGGGCTGGGACTCCCCAGACTCAGGCTGGGTCTGCTGGGACTGCTTGGTGACCTTGAATGAGTCATTAAACCTTTGACCTTTGGCTTCCCTTCCACTGCCCCCTTGGCCCATCTCCCCCCTTCCCCTGCCCCAGGGCTCTGGAATCCGATGCGGTAGGCAGGGGTACCACGCCAGATTCAGTGCCAAGAGCCCAGTCTACAGCACCAGCCCTGCCTGCCACACCCACCTCCAGGCGTTGGGTGCCCTTTAGGGGAACCAAAGGACCCCCTTCTCAGGACCTCCTGGCCACCACACTCCCAGCGGTGTGGCCCAAGGGCCTGGGGCTCTGCTGCTGCTGCCTGGGGAGAGGCCGCCCCTTCATAAGCTTCACCTCTAATCCCAGCAGATGTTCCACTTTGCGGACAGAATGCGGAGGCGCAGGAGGTGTTGTGCTTGTGGGTGGTCGTGGGTGAGCATGGTAGAGCAGGAACCCCCAGAGAATGCGGCCGGGACTGGACAGCCCCTTTGCACAGCCGTGGGACCCGCTCACATGTTCCTGACAGAGGGAACAACCCTGCCAGCACTGTGGGGTGGCTACCACCATGGAGAGACCCGGCCAGATGCTCCTGCAGCCCCCAGAGCCGACGGGCCCCCCACAGCTGAATACAGGGCAGGGCAGGGACCCCTCTGTGCTCCATGGGACGGCCATCAACACTGCCAGCACCGCCCCATGGCCTAATGCTCCAGCTCAGCCTCAGTGGGACACCTCACCTGAGGACACGCACGGGGTGGCCCCTGCTTCCCCTCCTCCTTGTGCCAGCTCTAGGAGCAGGAGTGGGGCAGAGCCTGGTGAGACCCTGACAGGTTGGCCTCAGGTGGAGGCAGCAAGGAGAGGAGAGAGATGAGGCAGAGAGGCGAGACCCCCACTTCGCAGCAGGCATGAGACCTGGAATGTTCCAGAGCTGAGCAATGCAGGCACCTGCTCCTGCCCCCTGGGGGCCTTTGGACCTGGGAGGTCATGAGAGGGCCTCCCCTGCCAAGCACAGCGGAGGCGGCACAGATTAAGTGCAGGGAGGCGGCAAGCCGGTGTCCGAGGAGACAGGTGCTAGTTTCATCTTTACAAGCGTCCAGGAGAAAAGCCGGAGTGCCCCTTTGTGCCCACGGCCACACCCCACGCCTTGTGACTGCACGCTGCTAACTGTGGTCACAGTGCTTGGAAATTCTCTCCCAGACAGAACAATCCCCTTTCCCTCTCCTGCCCTCCCTTTTCAGCCAAACCCCCGTGGGCCCCAGCCCTGTGCTCAGCTCTGGGCTACGGCCTGGGAGCCGCTTCTCAGGGAGGATGCCTGCCCTCCCTTTTCAGTCAAACCCCAGGGGGCCCCAGCCCTGTGCTCAGCTCTGGGCTACTGCCTGGGAGCCGCTTCTCAGGGAAGATGCTTGCCCTCCTCACGCCCTCCTCTCTCCACAGATCCGTCCTGTGATGCGGCTGCAGCCACCACCCCGAGAGGGAACCAGCTGGAGCACTGTACCCTGACCCCCGGGCCCAGCGCCCTGGCCCTCACATTCCTGCCCAGCAAGCCGGGTGCCCGGCCCCCACCAGAGGGAGCCAGCTGGGATGCAGGGCCTGGCACTCCTTCGGCCTGGGCAGTCCCCGCGGAAGGTGGCGGCCCCAGCCCCAGGCCCCCCGAGGTTCGGCCTGCCGAGGGTCCTCTCCTAGCCACCCTGGAGCCCCGGATTGTGATGGGCGAGGAGACACGCTGGGCGCCCCAGCCTCCCAGGGCTGCCTTGCCAGAGCTCAGGGACCGGGAGAGTGGGCACACCAGCCTGAACCCACCCCCGGAGTTGTGTTCTCAGGGTGACCCTCCTGTGCCTTTCCCTGCTCTGGACCCTGATTCCTACTTCACGCCTCCCTCTACCCCCACCGAGACCGCCTCTGCCCTGCTCTCCGGCCCCGGGCCCTGCAGGGACGCCCAGGACACCCAGCCTGAGCCAGGGGACTCACCACCTGCCTCGCCCTCAGGCTCCTACATCACAGCGGATGGGGACAGCTGGGCCTCGTCCCCATCCTGCTCCCTGAGCCTGCTGTCCCCAGCTGAAGGGCTGGACGTTCCCTCCGGCTGGGGCTTCTCCCCACTGGGGTCCGTAGTGGACGAGCAGGAGCTGCCCCCTCCCGGGCCCCCAGGCTCCCTGTCCTCAGAGTCCAGCCTCTCGGCAGACAGCAGCTCTTCCTGGGGCCAGGAGGGCCACTTCTTCGAGCTGGACTTCCTGGCCAATGACCCGATGATCCCTGCCGCCCTCCTGCCCTTCCAGGGCAGCCTAATCTTCGAGGTGGAGGCAGTGGAGGTGATGCCGCTGCCCCCCGAGAAAGAGGAGGAGGAACAGGAGGAGGAACAGGAGGGAGAGCAGGAGGAGGAGGCCCCCGCCCCCGAAGGGGACCTGGCCGGGGATGGGGAGGACGACAGCACCTTTGCCTCCTCCCTGCAGTCGCTGTCTGACCTGTCCATCACCGAGGGCATGGACGAGGCCTTCGCCTTCCGGGACGACACCTCGGCAGCCTCCTCTGAGCCCGACTCGGCCTCCTACGCGGGGGCCGATGACGAGAAGCTGTACAGCGGAGAGCCCCACGCCCAGCCCACCACCCTGCTCCAGGACAGCCCTGGTGAGCCCCCGTCCTGGGGCCCGGAGCCCGCTCCTGGGGTCTCAGAGGGAGAGGCCAGCCACGCCACCGAGAGCCAGGAACCGGTGGCTGAAATAACTGGGGTGGACCCCGCCTCAGGCCAGGCGTCCACTGCAGCCATGGCCCCTCAGTCTCTGAAGGAAGTCCCAGGTCTCACCGGGCTGACCCCTCAGGCCCTGGGGGAAGAGGCAGACTCCACTGTGGGACCAGTGCCTGTTGCCACAGCCACACCTCAGCCCCTGCAGGAGGGAGACAGCGCTGCCTTAGGCCTGGAGCCTGGGATTGCGCAGGAAGAGGCGGGTTTCACGCCAAGCCCAGACTCTCTGCAGGATCTGAAGGAGGAAGCGGGCCAGGGACCTGCCTCTGCGGCCAGTCCTGAACCTCAGCCTGGAGAAGTGGACCTGGCCACACCCCTGCTCCTGCAGGATGCATGCCTCTCCTCAGGCCAGGGGTCTGCCGCTGTGGCCAGCCATCAGGCCCTGCTGACAGATGCAGGCTGCCCCCCAGGGACTGAGCCTGTGGCCACCTCGGCCTTGCAGGAAGGAGACAAGACTTTGGGACTGCAGCCAGTGCCTGAAGATAGGAACACAGGCCACACTGGAGGTCCAGAGCCTCTGGCCTTGGACCAGGCCCATCAGGGTGGCCCAGAGCCAGCTGCAGATGATGAGACACTCTGGGCCTCACAGGAAGATGCGAGCCCCCCCAAGCCTGCCACAGAGGCCCCAGACCCCACTGAGCCTGCCACGGAAGCTCCGGACCGCCGCAAGCCTGACACGGAGACCCTGGATGCCCCCGAGCCTGCCACGAAGGGCCTGGACAGCCCCGCGTCTGCCACGGAGGCCCTGGACGCCCCCGCGTCTGCCACGGAGGGCCTGGACGCCCCCGAGCCAGACATGGGGGCCCTGGACACCCCAGAGCATGCCATGGAGGGCCTAGACAGCCCCGAGGCTGACATGGAGGCCCTAGACAGCCCCGAGCCAGACATGGAGGCCCTAGACAGCCCCGAGCTGGACATGGAAGCCCTGGACAACCGCAAGACTGACACGGAAGCCCTGGACCCCCTTGAGCTTGCCTCAGAGGGCCCAGACACCTCCGAGTCTGAGACGGAGGCCCTGGACACCCTTGAGCCTGACACGGAGGACCTGGACACTCCTGAGCCTGCCAAAGAGGGCCCGAACACCCCCGAGGCTGACAGGGAGGCACTGGACACCCCTGAGCCTGACACAGAGGCCATGGACACACCCAATCCTGACACAGAGAGCCTGGACAACCCCGAGGCTGATACAGAGGCCCTAGACACCCTTGAGCCTGACACAGAGAACCTGGACACCCCTGAGCCTGACACAGAGGGCCCGGACATCCCCAAGCCTGACACCGAGGCCCTGGACACCCCCGAGGCTGACACTGAGGCCCTGGACACCCCTGAACCTGCCACAGAGAGCCTGGACACTCTTGATGCTGACACAGAGGCCCTGGACACCTCTGAGCTGGACGCGGAGGCCGTGGACACCCTTGAGCCTGCCATGGAGGGCCCAGACATCCCTGAGCCTGACACAGAGGCCCTGGACACCCCCAAGCCTGCCACCAAGGGCCCAGACATACCCGAGCCTCACACGGAGGCCTTAGACGCCCCCCAGCCTGCCATGGAGGGCCCAGACACTCCTGAGACTGACACAGAGGCCCTGGACACCCCTGAGCCTGCCAAAGAGGGCCTGGACACCCCCGAGCGTGCCACGGGGGCCCTGAACACCCCTGAGCGTGCCACAGAGGACCTGGATGCCCCCAAGGCTGACACGGAGCCCTTGGACACCCCTCAGCCTGCCACAGAGAGCCCGGATACCCCAAAGCCTGCCAGGGAGGGCCCGGACTCCCCTGAGCCTGACACGGAAGGCATGGACACCCTTGAGCCTACCATGGAGGGCCCAGACATCCCCGAGCCTCACACGAAGGCCCTGGACCACCCCCAGCCTGCCACAGAGGGCCCAGACACCCCTGAGACTGACACAGAGGCCCTGCCTGAGCCTGCCAAAGAGGGCCTGAACACCCCCAAGGCTGACACGGAGCCCTTGGACACCCCTCAGCCTGCCTCAGAGAGCCCGGAGACCCCCAAGCCTGCCATGGAGGGCCTGGACTCCCCCGAGCCTGACACGGAGGAGCTGGACACCCCCGAGCCTGCCACGGAGGCCCTGGACACCCCCGAGCCTGCCACGGAGGCCCGGGACACCCCCGAGCCTTCCACAGAGGGCCCGGAGACCCCCGAGCCAGCCACGGAGAGCCCAGACACCCCCGAGCCTGACACGGAGGCCCTAGACACCCGCAAGGCTGACACGGAGGGCCCGGACACCCCTCAGCCTGCCATGGAGGCTCTGGACACCCTCGAGCCTGCCACAGAGGGCCCTGACACACTCGAGCCTGCCACAGAGGGCCCTGAGACCCTTGAGCCTTCCACGGAGGGCCTGGACTCCTCCAAGCCTGACACAGAGGCACTAGACACCCCCGAGCCTGCCACAGAGGACCTGGACACCCCTGAGCCTGCCACGAAGGGCCCAAACACCCCTGAGCCTGCCATAGAGGGTCCGGACTCCTCCAAGCCTGACACAGAGGCACTAGACACCCCCGAGCCTGCCATGGAGGGCCCGGACACCCCTGAGCCTGCCATAGAGGGTCCGGACTCCCCCAAGCCTGACACAGAGGCACTGGACACCCCCAAGCCTGCCACAGAGGACCCGGACACCCCCGAGCCTGCCACAGAGGGCCCGGACACCCCTGAGCCTGCCACAGAGGGCCCGGACACCCCTGAGCCTGCCATAGAGGGTCCAGACTCCCCCGAGCCTGACACGGAGGCCCTAGACACCCGCAAGGCTGACACGAAGGGCCCGGACATCCCCCAGCCTGCCACAGAGGCCCTGAACACCCGCAAGCCTGCCATGGAGGGCCCTGACACCCCCGAGCCTTCCACGGAGGGCCCGGACACCCCTGAGCCTGCCACGGAGGGCCTGGACTCCCCTGAGCCTGACACAGAGGCACTAGATACCCCTGAGCC